GAACTTTTTAGACGAGATGTTTAAGAGAGAGAAAACAAAAATTTCTTATTTGCTTTCTTGAAGGGCGTTGTTTTCTCGTAAGATAGCAAAGAGAGAGAGCTTTTCTTTCTTCTTTTTTTGGTCAATTTTTCTTCAATCGGTTATCTATGTAAAAGTGAGGTGCAACATTTCTTTTATTACTTTTTGGTTGAAAAGACAAACTAAGCTCTCTCTTTTTATTACTGGAAATTCATATGCTGAACTTTCAAATTGAAAAAGCTATATATTTAATAAAACTAATTTTAATGATTTAGTTTTTCATTATTTTTAAAACATATTTTTAACAAAATATTAATCATTATTATTATTATGAAATTAGCATGATATGCATTAGAGCCTAGGAAGATACTATATGATATAATATAGTGTGTAATAAAATTTCTAAAAATACCTAACCACTTGTATCTTCAAGATCTATCTTCAATTTAAGACTTCTTGTAAATCATTTGTCATTATCAAAATATATATTCCATAATGCATATGAGGTCTTCATCATCCACCTTCCTTTCCCTCTCCTCTTTCTACTAACCAAAAAGTTTCTTCTTTACTACATAGAGAGAGGGGGGTGTACATGTTGATTTCAATTTGTATACATGGAATCTAGCAAAGGAAGGGATAATATTTCACATGAATTGGTAGCAAAATATTATAAATAATTGAATATATGATCATGTATTCCTTGTAATCATTATTTTTTATTGTTTATTTGCCATGGCGCACCATGTAGAAGACATTCTTGGATACGAATTCGTCGAGCTGGACGTCTTGGGGTAGCTGCCCTCATCTACCCCGAGCCCGACGATTCTGAATTCAAAATGTTCAACAGCTTTGGGGAATACATTTTGAGGTCGGCATCTTATACTATGTGGATCTTGTTGGCCCCATTAGTTTCGAAGTTGATCTATTCTGCGAAGTCAATATGAGTTCCGCCAACCTCTCAAGGGTCGCTTAATCATGTTATTACTGTACGAATTAAAAACTAATATTTTATTGAGAGATAAAAGGTTGAGTTTTGGATGCCTAATTTATAAGTAAAGTCTAATTATATGCTTACCAAAAAAAAAAGTCTAATTATATATCTTAATATTTAGAAGGTATTAATTTTATATTTAAAAATGTAAAAATACAATGGATAACTATCGCAACTCAAAGGTTTGAAAATTGAAGTTATATGAGCTCACTGGATGCGAAACAACATATCAAGGTGATTTATAGCTCAATTGGATTATTATTTTTCCTTGACAATTTTTTTTTTGAAATCTTGCCTTTTTTTAGTTTAAATTATGATTAAAAAAATTATAAGATAAAAATTCAAATATTTTTATCAAAATTTAAATTTATCTTAACCTTAACCTTAACCTCAGCTAACCTCACACTTACTACATTCAAATACAAAATAATTTTTAGTTTTAAAAAAATCCTTCTAAGTAATACAAGATATAAAAAAATTATTTTTTCAAGAGTCAATCCAAGCATCCCTCAAATAATCTTAAACATTTGCATGTGATTTTTCACACTCTAAGTTAGGGTAAGCATGACAAACTTTCTAGAATCATTTTTTTTTTAATTTTAATTTCGGGGAACAAAAATAATTAGAAACAGACTAAACCAATTTACTTTTTTTGTTCCTGAAAATGAATCGATTTATTTCCATTATGTAGAATAAAAGAAAAACAATTTTTTTTTATGCTTTTTTATTTCAGAGCACAAGAAGAGAAACACTTCTCTCTTACTCTTTGTTACGCTCCTCCTCTTGTTTCCAACTAAGTCATCTTCTACCAATCAGGCAAATTTATCTTCTCCTCTCATTCTTTTCATAACTCGATCTCTTCAAATCATTGTTCATCTCCCTCTCCCTCCCCCTTCCTCTTGATTATACTTTTCATGAAAAAAGTTGCAAATTTTCTAACGCATTCGTGTTTATCTCCCATATATTTTCCTGTTATTTCCCAGGTACCCCTAGAGACTCCATTGCTATAGTGGCGAATCGAGAGTTAAACCTCTTTCGATTTTGGGAATTGAATAGTACATCCTAATTTTGACTTTTTTATTTAAATTCTATCATCTTTTTCGTTTGAGAGTTCAGGTGTAATATAATACATCTCTAATGATGTTTCTTTGTTGGTTGCATTCAGCGTGCTTTGTTTCTTTGTTGGTTTGTATATTTTATCTTGAAATAGATTTGTATTGTATTATCAACATAATTCTATTTAGAAAAAATTATTTTTTTAAGAAACAATACTAGTGAACATAAATGTTGTCATACACACCCCTAATCTCCATGTATTTTCAATTTCAAATTGTATAAACAAATTTTGTAGCATAAATGTTGATATAGGTAAGTTGTAAATTACCACGCTAAATAAATTTATGTTATTAGAATGGTGCGAGCAAATTCAAAATCCTTTGCAAGATATACTTTCACCATTAGATCAAATAACAAATGTAAATAGTGGGATGACACCGCATCTCAACCAAAAACATTAAGGTTATAGGTGTATGAATTTTTTGCACTTATATAATTCTCACTTAATCTATGTCTAACTAATATGAAACTTTATCATTACTCATACTTGAATGTTTATAACATATTTATATTAATGTGATAATCATTAGTAGCAATAAGATTCACATTTAACAACTTGCATGTATTTTACAATAGTAGCAATAAGATTCAAACCTATGAATCCTAATTCCTTCACCATTTAGCAAATCCTCATGCCTATAAGATCATGCATATATGCCTACGAAATATTTTGTTACCAGTTTTTAAAAAAGGACATTTTTTTAAATAATTTTTTCTAAAAGTTAAAGCTATGTATTTTACATTTTGATGTTAAAATTAATAAGTATTTTTTATATATAAAATTAATAAAAAAATATGTGATAATAATGGCGACAGTGGCTAGTGGGGTTGGGATAAAATCGAATTTATAAACAAATATTTAATTTTAGACTTGTGCTTTCTTTAAAGGGAAGAAATTTGACTTTAAAAATAGTATCATTTTAACTTTTATTTTAATTTTATTATTTTTAAACGTTGGTATTCAAACATATAAAATTACTCAAAAAATTATTTTTTGACTAAAAACAATTTTTCTAGGTACATGCCTACTCAATAACGTTATGGTTGAGAAGGTAGCTTGAAAGAGAATATGTTGTTTAACTTCTCTTCTCTTTATAAGCAGAAGTTAGACCAAACAGATTTTTACAAAAATTCTTATAATAAAAAAGGAACTTTTTTTTATAATGAAAAAAAGTTAATTTTTCTTAAGTTGTATCAGCTTATTTTTAATTTGAGTTTTTAAGTTAAAATTTTTATATAATCATCAAACAGAGCTTTATTTTTAAAGCTCTTTTTTTAATTTTAATTTTAATTTAAAAGTAGCTTTTAGTTAAAAAAAAAAAAGAAAAGGTGTCAAACTGGCTCTAGATATAATCACAAACAAGACCAAAAACCCCTTGCACGATGCTTGCTCTTTGGGTGATAGCCTCCCTTGATGATTAATTTTAAGTGGACTTGGGGACATGGCATTTTTGACTAGGGATAGCAATTTTCAACACAACCCAATTCACACGACACAAAAATTGTGTTCGGATCAACTCGTTTTTAAATTAGTGTCGTGTTCGGGTTGGCAAATAATGACCTAAAAAAATTCAAGTCGTGTCACATGTCAACCTGTGAATTCGTATTTAATTTTTCTACAGGTTATTCGTGTTGAGTCATAAACAAATCATGTGTTTTATCGTGTTATGTCGACTCGCATAATAAGTAACCCAATTTATGGTTGATAAGTTATCCATGTCGTGTCAACTCACATAATAACTGATACATTATGAGTTTATGGATTAACCAAATCCAACCATAAAGTTGATGAACAGTGACATTTTGATCACTGTTCCTAACTTAAATGCTGGAACCGGCCCAAATGAGGAAGGAAAACTAAATGCGGAAGACAAAACAATATCACATATCACTTGCAAGATCCTGGTTTCCAGGTTATTGTTCATCACATGTAAAGATTGCAGTTCTGCAACTTCAATATCATGCATATAAGTTGATTCTGTTCGAAGTTGTGCCACCACACACTCAGATTTTAACTAAATCGTTTTGTTACCTGAGGTCCATCAATTTTTGGTGGTGTAGAGTTATGGCCAAAAAAACACCACGAAAGGTCTCAAAAAGATTAGTAATACAAATCTTTTATTTGGAAGTGAGAAAGCAAATAAATTCGACTAAAATAAATGTATGAAATATGAAACAAGCTGCAGGGCATAACTTCGGAACTGCAAGACAGTGATATAGTGAAGGAAAAAAAGATTTGAAATTTTACTACAGTAATTGGAAATTAATACTGAAACAGGTAGCTAAAAACTGCTGTCAAAACAATAACCAGACACACATATTTGATACTGGTGTCAAATTTAAAGTTTGACACCTCATCTGAGAGCCGTTCGATCAAAAAAGATTAATGATGTCACATGCTTACAAATCAGAGTCGTTGATCTTTTTCGATCTAATGGCTATCAGATGAGGTGTCAAACTTTAAATTTGACATCGGTGTCAAAGGATCCTGCCCCATATATGTATATATGGAACGTGATCCTTTAACACCAGTATCAAATTAAAAAGTTTGACACTAGTAGTTGACCCATGTGGAGTCATATGAAGAGAAGAGAAGGGAAAAAAATATGTACCCCACACATTTTTATATATATATAAAAGATAAAATTATCTCCTATAACATGAAACGTTAATATCTCTCTCTTTATATATATACATATATGAAATAAGATCCTTTGACACTAGTGTCAAACTTTAAAATTTGATACCAAATCCTAACCGTTAATTTCCACCAATCAAGAGTTATCATTTATTTGAATTCAAACTTATTAATTTACTTTGGATGAACGGTATGTGTAAAATTCCAATCATGTATTGTCAAATAATTAAACAAGGTTGACTATCACAGATACTCCATAGGAAGTAACTTTTTAATATTGTGCCAACACATCATCAGATGATAGTATAAAAAACTTTACACTGATAGTGTATCAAATTTAAACACACTCTCAATATATATATGTATATATATATATATATAGCACCCTTAGCAACAAGTGCACTGTAAATCCGGTATAACTTTGTTCACATAATTAATAGACAGATAGAGAGGCTTTCTGGTCAACTACTGTCGAAAGCTTGCAGGCATGTAATGCAGTGCATATATCTGTTGTCTCCAGGAATTTCTCTGCACTGAGAAAAACCAAGGGTCCATACTGGAATACTAGCCTCTTGCACTGCAAACAATTTGGAAGATTAATAAAAAAACCCATGTCAATTGATGAAAAGAAAAAGCTTAATTACAAAAATAATGTTCTTGTGCACTTTCTATATAACACTGCAAAATTTCTCTTAGCTGAGCATGCGTATTTTCCTAGTTCATGACCTACACAATAAAATAGCCTATCCAGTTCCTATTATGGCTATTCTTGGGTCTGAAAATCCTTCCTTATAGTACCTGAAGATAATTGTAGTAGTAGAGTTTGTTTCTCCAAGTGGTGCAATGAGCATACAGTTATAAACTTTCACACTAGAGTCAATTATTGATGGCAAGGAGCCAGCTGAGTCCATGAAATTATCATTGCAAGGAAATTACTGGGGATCCAAGCATGATAATTTGGTTAATGGGATAAAACTTGAATTTTCATATTACTGAATTCGAATCTAGTGATAGATTCCATGCCACATGGTGTTTAAAGATGCAGAGTAACTCAATAAATAAGAGAGAAAAGAAAAAGCAGTAACTTCTCATACTCTTCTTACCTTATTTGCATACTTATCCACCGAATTGCACACCTTCAGTAGTGTCTCAATTATCTCTAGCTGACATTTTAAAATAAATGGTTAGCACTTTATTCAACAAAAGGTAACCAAAACCAAGTAGGGGCGGAACTAGGATTAAGACATTGGATGGGTCAAAACAAAGATAATAGAGGGCTTTTAAGAGAGCAAGGATGGAAGACATCAACATTTCACATGTCTTTCCCATTTACACTTGGATACATGTTTGCATTTCTATTAAAATATTGAGAATATATTTCATATACTGCACCCAATCATTATATTTCAATTCCTTTTCTATTTGGCTGCAAACCATAGGCTTTCTTAAATAAAAGAAAGTCTAATTTGCAATAAATTCTACATACAATCATTTTAAAGCTGTGTAAGTAATTGAAGTATGCAACACTGGTCAAAGTGTTCTGGTAGATGAAAGCTGAGTAGAACTAGAAAATATAGGAAAAAGTTTGCTCATATCAGGACACACAAAATAAAATTCCACATCAAGCTTCATTGGAGTAGCAGGAAGGTGAAATTATTTACCTCAGTGTCAGGATTTTTCAACTTAGCCAATAGCTCTGAAACAGTATCTTTGCAAAACTCACAGCTATGTTCTTGAACTTGTAAGGAAATACTTGCAATGTGCTGACAGAGGTTGACCTTGTTGCAGAAATCTCCAGGCTGAATTGAAGCAATTTCTACGAAGAAAAGAGGAGCATAATAGTCCACCAAAGTGATGCACTGCACAAATACAGAAGAAACAGTGATGAATTTATATAAGATCTGACGAGTTCTGATTCATCCACTTATTCACCCTTTAAAGTCCTAAGATATGCTGATGGTTGTTCAACTATTTTTTTAAACCACTCTAATTTTTTACAAGGTTCTCCAAAGTTGTTCATGGCACAACAAAACTGGGCTTTGTCATTCTGTCTATCAAAGTTAACACACATATATGCATCATCTGTGTAGGCCATCATCCATCAAGAGTGAAGAGGGTGCAAAACAAGTTGGTTAAACATTGGAGATCATAGAGGGAAATTAAAGTTGGTTTTTGCAACAACTGAGAACAACTACAGCATATAAACCAAAACATGAGGTTCAAAAGGTGACCAACCTGCTGCTTAAAAGAAAGAAGTTGAGAGCAAGTATTGCGAAGGATATCAATGATCTCATTCTGGGTCTTGTTTGCATTTAGATAATCAAGTGCCTTGGCAGTATATTCCTCACAAAGTGCACACACATCTGGTTTTCTGTTTATTTCTGCAATTTGAAGACAGGTCAACATCATGACTTACTCATGCCGCATTTGCATTTTGAACTATATTTAACAGAAACTTATTCTCGCAAGTAAAATTTTCAAGATTTGCACGAGATGTTCGGTCAATCCACATTTACTTAAGTGGACTGATGAAAACTAGTTAGCATTTCAAGTTGGCGCTTGCATTTTTGACAAACTGGAACCTTTAGTACTAAATTTAAGAAGTGTGTTTATGTTAAAATCCTTTCATTCATCCTTCACCTATACTATAGCATGTCCTCTGAAGGAAAAAGGCTATTGATAAGCTTGAAACTCAATAGTCAAGCTTAAAGACTGAAATGCCATATTGATGTTAGACCAGGTTCTCCATTCCCATCAAGGGTAGAGCTTCTGCAAATCAGTCAGCGCAATTCAATCGACAATGTTTGATGAAAATAGATGTTTCATAAAACCAGAAATAGAATCCAGACTAGGAGGAATACTAGGGTGACACACTTCACCCAAAAATAAAAAATACAATGTCAGAATAGATCTCAGCAACAAACTTATCAAACTGCTTGTATTCCAAAGCATGAGCTATTATCCAAATCTTCACGTGACATGATATATTTCCCATGTCTTATCCCCATCCTGTTTTTCTCATTGCTGTCACTAAAATTTATCCCAACTGTAAAGAACCAATTCAACCCAAAAGCTTAAACTGTTGGGTGAGGGTCTCTTTTTAATGGTTTATACTATTCTCTAACACGCTCCCTCACACGAGAGCCGACTGGACTTGAAGGGTGGACAATGCACAGGCTCACCTACCTGTACTAAGAAACTCCACAAGACTTAATTAATTATTAATTAAATGGAGGCGGTGAGGATCAACCCGTGACACCAAGGCTCTAATACCATGTAAAACGCCAATTCAACCCAAAAACTTAAGTTTTTTGGTTGAAATGGTTCTTTACACCAACAATTTCCTATATCATCAAGTGTCCTAAATCATAGATAGAGTATAGGAATCATCCATCTCTTAATTCCTATACATCATGAAGTAGGTGGACTTAAGAGGTCATATTATCAGTCGACTCATTCAAGACTAGTAGACCCCTATTTCGTCTATCTTGGATGGTTAACTTAAGGAGATTCTTATAAATTTATATAAGAGACCCACAACAATATTATTCCATCCCGTTTCTTTAGTCACTTCTATCATTTTAGTCTATCCTACCAAAAAATGACATAGTTTATAGGTCTAAACTATAAACCATAAACTTTCCACTCTATTCTTTAATTTAACTTGAGTAAATTGGAGTCAATTTCAAAACAATTTTTTTCCTACATTGATGGGTAAAATCTGAAAGTATACTTTTTCATCATTATTGTGAAGGAGGGGAACTAGCAGATATCATGTTACCGTTAGATTTGAGGGGGTTTATATAAGTTATATGGGTAAACTACAATAGTATATTACCTCAATACTCCATCCCATTCTTTTGGCACTTATCTCAGTTTAGATTATCCCACAAAATTGGTATACCTCAATAATTACAAACTTTAAACTTTCCAAGCCACCCTTTAATTCAATCTTAGCTTACTTTTGACAATTAACTGGTTGTCATTGCCAGCAACTTTTTTTTTCCATTGTTGATGGGTAAAATCTAAGAATAACATGCCACTCCTTAAAGTTTGCACATTGACCAATATTGATTAATAGATGGGAGATTGAAAATGTAATGTACAATACATGTCTCCATTCTATCTGTCTTCCTAAGAAGGATAATAAAATGTAAAGAAAGCCGAGAATGATATCAGTCAACAATGTTACCAGCAGTGCCAGAGTTTGCTGTATTAGTGTTCCAATGATCACGGTTTGCCAGTCCTCTTGCATCACAAGCCCAGGCAGCACCCAATAGAACAAGAAACAATAGTCCCATTCTTCCTTTCATGGTTCCTATAATTGGTAACAAAAAAAAAAGAAAAAAATTTCAACTTCTATTAAGGAAAAGATAGAAATTAATAAAAAAATGCAGGGCTATTATAAAGGGGAAAAAAAATTAAGACAGAGGTATGATATTCTTAACATGTATTAAATGAAATAAGAAAATGACTGAATGGGCATATCAAACTATGATACCATTTTGATAGAACAACATTATCAATTAACTACTATTTGTCTAGACACTTGTAAAAATATTTACCGTGTTGGAGTGTACATTTCTCAGTGCTAAACGCCATGGAAAAATAAAGTACATTATAATGTGCCGACCCAAGGGAGTGATTAAGATACAGCAAAGAAAATTAGACATCAACATCCTTTCCCCTTGTTGCTGATAATTAAATTATTTTTTTCTATCATAGGTTCAACCCTCAAAGGTGTACACAGAGAACCAGAAAAAGGCAGCCAGATAAATTTAGACCCCCCTCTCTCTCTCTATATAGGATATGATATTATACCTACTTTACCAACTTTTCTTAAACACTGTTAGATTACGATTTCAACCAACTTTCACTCTTCTTCTCTTCCCTTGATAGAAAAAGGATGAAAATTGGTTGAGATTCCTATATATATATATATATATATATATATATATATATATATATATATATTTTGTAAGTTACACTCTTGATTTTGGTATGTGGCATTAGATGCAAACTGGATCTAACGTTAAGATTGAGTGTTAGACTTTTTAGTATATAAATGGGGTAGGATCAAAGAATAACAAGTCTTACACCAAATTTTAACCGTTAATTTTTATGAATCAAACGGTGATAATTTATCGGAAATTAATAATTAATTAATAAATATGACCCCAAAAATTATAATCGTTGGATTCACGGAAATGAACGGCTAAAATTTGGTGTAACACTAATTATTTTTACACAGATATAAGTTGATCTTCTCTATATATATATATATATATATATATATATATATATATATATATATAGGGATAGGATCAACTTACACCAATGTAAGAATAATAAGTCTTACACCAAATGTTAACTGTTGATTTCCGTGCATCCAACGATTGAGATTTATTGGGAATTAAAAATTAATTAATTAATGAGACCTAATAAATCTTAACCGTTAGATGCAGAAAATCAATTCTTAATTGATTTGAATTATTCAAACCTAATTCATGCTGAGCTCCCCCCTCCCCCCAACCACCACAAAACCACACGCGAAAAGTAAAAATAAAAAATCCCGGTTCGAGAACAACTTTGTAAGCATGGATACACTATAACCTAATAGCTGAAACGTGAATAAAAAGCCAGAACTATGATGTCATCCAACAGATAACAGAAACTGAAGTAGTAACTGGACCAATTAAGATAACAACAGACAATAGTTGAGACCAACTGCATACACGATCAGGGAAAAAAAAAAAAAAGTAGTGGGGAGTGATTAATTTTGAGGATTAGTTGGTGGCAAGTACAAGAGAAAAGTTTAACAAATTTTCTGAGTGATTTTCCCTGGAAACAAACTAAACAAGAATAAAGAGAGGAATGAAAGATTACCTTTTTTGCGAAGATTGATGAGAAGAATGGAAGGGAAGGGAGATAAGATGGTAGTGATTCCTTTCCTAGGACTTGGAGTGTCGTGTTGGATGTGGTTAGGAATGGTTGGTTGGTCTTAGTTGGTTGGATTAATATGTTTCTTCAAACTTTGAAGCTGCAACTTCAGGAAACAAAGCTTCAGTGTGGGGAGCCCCATGGAGAGAGTTGTGTGTCTCACTCTTTATCATGACCTGTCAGAATCATGATAAGGTACACATTGAAGCGTACAGATTGAGGGGCTTGATTTTCTTCATAAGAGGGTGTAAAAGATTGTGTTAAAAGAAAATTTTATGAGAGAATGGAATATGTGCCAAAAAAAAAAGTGAAAAGGAATATCTTTAATCATCACATGAGGAGGAACACTTTCTCTTATCATAAGTTAATATCAGCAACAGTTTTTTGTTTTTACTTCAATGGCTCAACTAATTCTAATTTGATATTTTCTGCAATTTTAAATATGTATTGTATCTAACTACCAAAAAACAAAATATGTATTGTATCTTAAAAAAAAAATTAAAAATTTATAATTTATAGTTTTCTTGAGGAGTTATTCGATTAGTTGTATCTTTATGTGATTGGTTAATATTTTATAAAGTAACTGTCAATTAGTAAATTTGTGAATTAAGAGCGAGTTATTTTCTTTCCGAAGAGTTTGATGTTTGTTATTCTAAATGATACAAGTTATGTCATTCTAAGAGAGAAATAAACACAAGGAATGAAAATCATGAGGGAGAAAGTGAGTGGTTTTTTTTTAATTTAAATTTTAAATAAAAAAATTTTATTGTGTCTATCTCTCTCTTGAAATGACATAATTTTAAGTCATTTAAAATAACAAATACTTTTTCCTTAAAAGAAACATCGTTTTTCTTATATGGAAAAAATAATTTTAACTCGTATAATCACATGAAAATGAATGAATGGATCCATGAAAAGAGAAAAAAAATGGATTTTACCTACTTTAAATGAATACAGGAGATAAAATTATTTTTATGAGAAGTATTAATCACTTCTTTAAATTTGTTTATATTTTTGAATAAAAAATTCATCTAAGCTTTTATGAATTTTTTTTATGGAAAATACTTTGAAATGAAAATCATTATTAAAATGAATTATAACAATTTGGGGTATATATTTTGGGGAATGCGACTCTTATTTTATATTAGAGTAGTTCTTCCATGCTATAGAGAGAAGTTAGGTGGGGCCTATTATTAAAGAGTAAAATAAAAAGGGAAAAGTTTACCAATGGTTTACTCCAGAATTACTTACGTCCCTGTAATTTTTTTTATCACATATATTTATGTGGTTTGCAAAATGATATGTTTTTTTATCAAATGCCCTTATGGTTTTTTACTTTTTATAAACACAGGGGACATATGTGATAAAAAAAAACCCACAGACACATAAGTGATTCTAAAGCAAACCACAAGGACGTTGATGAATTTTTCCCAATAAAAAAAAGATGGATGAGATTTTTGAAGTGAGAGAATATGAGATAACTATCTCATGTTAAATAAGAGTAATATTTCTCATATTTTTATTCATTATTTGTTATAAAATTATAACAAAATTTAAAAGGTATACAAATGTGGGGGCAATTTGGGGTAATATATAAGCCCCCAAATTATGTTTATAAGTTTTTGATTTTCATTACTTATTAAAAATCATTAAAAATGAAATATATACCCTTTTAAAAATAAAAATGAAATACATAACCCCCCAAATTATTAAAATGAATAAAATATAATTGTTATCAAATCTATAAAAAAAAATATGATGGTAGGAGTTAGCTATGATGCACAGACACGGACACGGGATACAACACGACACGCTGACACGTTAATTCTAAAAAATGTCATATTTCGACACGTTGGGACACATTTTGATATTAAATAAAAAATTTAATATATATAATATAATTTATATTTAATACATATAAGAGTCCATAATAAGTCATATAACCAATCAAATATTTAAATTTCATAACAGAAAAAAATTAATTTATAAATTTTTTTTTTATATTTAGTTAATAAAATAAAATTAAGATTTTTTTTAAAAAAAAACATGTCAGAGAGTTGACCGCATGTCTCCAAATATTGATCACGTGTCGAATATGTATCCGAGCGTGTTCGTGTCGAACACGTGTGTCCGACACGCAAATTTTCCAATTTGGAGCGTGTGTGTGCTTTCCAGGGAGTTAGGACTAATAGGTTTTTTCTATGAAGCCATATTGAGAACTAGAGAGTCTATCCTTTTCAATTGATAATATATTAGAAAAAAATGTACGTACATATAATTTGGAGACTACATATTTTTATAATCAATAATATTCAGTATATACCCTTTTATGAATTATAACAATTTTTATTTTTTTATTTCTATTTTTGAGCATCATAAAATTATGAATAAACCTATTGATGTATGCATATTACAAAATTTATATTAAATGAGATGTTCAATTGTAATAACTTAATCCTTATATATTAATTTAGATAGTAGAATAATATGGGGCAAATCAATTTATATCAGTATAAAAAATATTATTCTTGAACCCAATCTTAATCATTGATCTTATATGTAAGGCTCACATAATTAATAAATGAGTATGGTTACATACAAATGAGATCAACTATAAAATTAAATATAACACTTACGCATTTATATAAATATATGTATATCGATATATTAAATAGATATTTAACAATCTCGTACTTGAATTACATATATCCTTATATAATCATGCATTGCAAAATAATCATATGAGCTCAATACCTTTACCAAATATCATTTGGTCCATCAAGCATATTAACATAGGATCAAACTAACCTTTATATAATATACCAAAAAAAATAACCTTTATATTTATTGTATATTTAAAATGACTGACTTAAAAAACTTATTATTTTTTCTTTATGATTTTAAGATTAAATGTTAACAAATAAAAAAAATTAAATTCATATCCCAGTACATAAGTGTATCATGCTAAATTAGAATTTAAACACACGTTTAAATATTATGCCTTTAACAAATAATTTAAGGAAATATAATTTTTTATGTTACATGAGAAAAAATTATCTCATATAATACACCAAAAAAATAAATATGACCCATTAAGAAAAATAAATAAATAAATAAAACTTATTTTTTATGTATGAATGAGATAAAATTATCTCATATCGCATGAGACACTTTATTTCCATAATTTAAACATATACTATTTTTTTTTTTAAATAACTCGTGCATTACACATAATACTAACTAGTTTAAAAATATTTAGTACATACAATTGTAAAAGCAAACAAACGTATGAAACTTCGTGCCAAAAAAAAAAAGCAAACAGCAGTGGTGGAGTGACCAATCACCATTCACCATTCACCAAAAGGAAACTTCGTGCAATCTGACGAAAGTATGGAACTGGAGGATCCAAAGGTGAATAGACATTCTAGCAAACATGGTCCCTTGGGGTGTTTGGTACTGGAGAAATTTTTATTTGTCCGGGAATCTCAATTTTCAAAAATATGATTTTTACATTCAGTTTACGATAATATTCGAAAATTTAAAATTTAAAAAAATTCAGTTTCCCAGAAATCCGGTCAAATACCGCGTACCAAACGCCCTTAGTGCAAAACGCCCTTCTCAATTACCTTGACAAATTGGCGAATTTTATTTTATTTTATTTTTGAAAAAAATATTTGTACTCTTAAAAATGATTATTTCAGCTAAAATTAATATTTTTATTTAAATTTTAAATTAAAAAAGTTACTTCTTCTCCCATAAATTTTATTGTTATATATTTTTTTCATTTAAAAACACATAATTTTATATCCTTTAAAAATATAAACGTCAATTTTTTTTTTCCTTGAAAAAAAGGTGAATGTTTTTCATGCTTTCTTCATATTTTTTACTCTAGTCACCTTTCACAAGTGTCATGCTAGCAGATTCTAGTATCTAATAAATAGAAATCTGTCATGGCTTCAATTTCCAAATATATTTTGTTTTTTGGGTTCATTCCAAATGGATTACAACACAAAAGAAATGATGGTGATTGAGGGTGGGAAATGGCATGACAAGTAAGATAAAAAAAATAAAACTTAGGAATGGGAAAAACAAAAATACACATATTATTAATGACTAATATTTAATTCAAAGGATTCCACACCAAAAAATAAAATAAAATTCAAAGGATTAGTTGATTTGAGAAAATATAAAAAAGTTATTGTATGGGAGGTTTTGATTGCAAGATATAATTTTCCTTTCGTTGGTGCGTTGCAAAATTTAATTTTGAGCAGCACTTCTTTGTTGGTACATTGCAAGATTTAATTTTCAACATATATATAATAGTTTTTTTATCAGCTAATAGCACTCCTACGCCGCGTTATTATGAGAATCGCAAATTGTGTACTGTAGATTCATAGGAGCCAATTAAGGAAAATTGAAGGGAAGTACACAATATTAGCGTTGAGGGGAAGCGCACATTACGCTACTGTTGAAATTATATTTATATGTGATTCAAAATAAAAAATTATATTAATATCATTGCTATTCTATACGTGTAATTTAATAAGTTTTCATTTCTGTATTAATTGTGTATCCATGAGCTGAGTGGGTCTTTTTCTCTCTTCACAAATTCATGAATTTTTTATTTTATATTTTCCTACTTTATTTGAAATATAATTTTTCTATATTTATATTTAGAGGTAAGTTATACTTACAACTTTATTTTGCAACCTCTTACAACCATATCTTAACACCGTTGATTTCCGTCAATCAACAGTTATGATTTTCACAAATTAAACTCATTAATTAATTATTAATTCACAATAAATGATAACCATTAATTGACAGAAATCAACGATATTAAGATATGGTTGTAAGAGGTTGTAAAAAAAAGATTATAAGTATAACCTTTTTCTTATATTTAAGTAAAAAACTGTTAAGAGATGCCAATATCTTTAAAAAAGCAAGAGTAGCATACAAACCTCC